ACTCTTACGACTATTTGTTAGTCATGGTAGCCTGATTCTCATTTCCTCACTTGCTTTAACATACCAGTGTGACAAAATCTAATAACTCTAGGAAACCCTATATGTTGTGGCCAAACCGGTATAAGCCTGTTATATAGGATATATCTTATTTGTTTTAAATAGACATTTAAATAAAATTTATAACATTCTAAATATTTTGCAAATACAAAATGTTTTATCTTTGTACTGGCTTTGTCAGGTAGCTACCATTGTCATGACTCATTTTTCAAATAAGAAAATGGAAGCACAGAGAGGTTTAACATTTTGATCCAGGTTACACAGTCATTGGTGAAGATGAGGTCTGAGTCTGAACTCTATAGTACTATATTATGCTACATCACGAATTATAGTTTTTTAACAAATTGTTACCATGTTTTCTTTTTCTTATCACCCATGTACATTATAATCCTAAATTGAACCCTGAGGAATAATTATGAAAAGTTAAAGAATAATTTGCCTACTGTCCTTTGATACTATGGATGAGAAGTGCTTTTTTATTATTTTATTTTGTTTATAAAAACATAACGTGATTGTGTTTCTGTTGATTTAATCTCTTAATTTATATATGTTAAATAAAATGTATGAGAGTATCTTTCTCTGTCTCTAGTGTATGTTTGTTAGGACTGCTGTAACAGCCCAAGGGAAGCTTGCTGACTTAGCCATTTTCATTGTGGCTTAACTCTTGGAGAAGTTTTCCTTGATTTCATCCTGTCTTAGTTATTTTTAGTTAAGGTTAACAGAATTTTTGCTGATATAAATCTTGGAAACTTCGTTGCTGTGATATGAAATTCATGGGAATATAAGTATTCAGATGAAAGGATCCTTTGCACATCTTTCCTGAAAATCACATCTCCATTGTTGGCTTTACTGAGATGGTTGACTTGATCATGAATCATGTGTCTGGTCTCTAGCATATGTTTGTTGAGAAAACCCATAAATCCAGTCTCTGTAATATACCATATCAATAGTTCTATTTTACTTATCAATTCCTTTATTTATTTCCTTTCCTATCTTAAAATGCATAGTAGTGAAAACAAGGCTATACCTTTTATACTTTCCTTGGAAAGGTCCTCAGCTGCATATCTTAAGTTCAAAACTGGTACAGTCTACCTTCCACCCAATAGAAGAACAGAATCCTGACATCTCATAACAGGAATTACCTTTCTTCTAGTATCTAAGAGCTGGCTGATAATTTCCATCACACACTTTGACAGAAACACTGATAGCAAAGTTTATATGCCTTGCAATATTCTGTTCATGCTTACACAGTATTGTTTATAGCAATAGGCATTTTCTTTATTCTTATATTTTATAAATCACTTCCGTAGTTTACGTAGTATCACAGCTGTACTGTACTCCCCAATACAGTTATTTGTTTTCTCAGACAGTATTTGTTTCCTAGGACTGCCATTAGAAAGCAACACAAATTAGGTGGCTTATAACAAAAGAAAACAAAACAAAAAATAGTCTCAAAGTTTTGGAGGCCAAGAAAACTGAAATCAAGGTACTAGCAGGTACCAAGTTACTCTTGTGTTTGTGATCTTTCCTTGCCTCGTCCGGGTGGTGGAGGTTAATCTTTTCGTGGCCTTTGCCTTGTAGATGTGTTACTCCAACCTGTGCCTTCATCTCCCATGGCTTTCCCCCCTGTGTGCCTGTATCTATCTCTTTATTGTGATATGGACACCAGTCAGTCCTACCAAATTAAGGGCCTACCCTATGTCAGAATGATCTTAAGTAAGTAATCATTTCTACATAACTGTATTTCCAAATAAAGCCACACTGGATATACTGGGGCCACAATTCAACCTGAAGCACCCAATTAACAACCAGAACAGCCATATAACAACTGTAACAACTGCATCAAATAGTTTTAGGCTGGTGTTATTTTAAAATATCCTTTCCTTCTTTCCTAATTATTGTTTAATTGTTATAAATAGACTGAAGAACAGAATAATTTCACGCATTTTTGTATAGCTTCAAAGCCTTCCTATCAGACATTTGCACATGAAAGCATTTCTTCTTTTTATAATTAGCTATGTGGTGTGTCACAAAATGCTTAAGTAATACCTCAGTTTGGGTGTTTTGTGAAGTATTAACTTCTCGTTTTATTAATCATATATTGTGGTTGTATGAAATTTCCAATTTGTGATTCAAATAACTGCCTTAGTTTTTTCTGAGCGAGTTGCTGATTTAAAACAAAATTCATCTTTAAGTTAAATCACTCATTTTCAGTATAAATAATGCAAAGCATTAATTTGATTTCCTGGTAGACAAGAACAAATCATCAGAATTGTGTAGTAAGTCTTTCAGTAATCAAGTATGGAGGAATCTAGTGCATAAAAATTCATGATACTTCCCTTTAAATTTATATTTTAAACTAATATATATGGTTATCAACAAAGTACTAAGAAATACCACTCATATTAGTATCATGATTTCATGTCTAGAATGTTTGCTTGAAAATTTCATGTATTATTCTTCTTTGTACATATATGTCCATTAAGTTTATTTTGAAATGGAACTATATCTACTCTTCTTACTGATGAAATTATAGAGGGTATTCCTTTACATGACCTCATTTAATTTTCATAGAGATATAGAATAGTAGTAGTATTTGTCAATACTTAACAACAGTAAATTATTTCTGTGGTAGTGAAGCTTACTATTTTCACTCTGACATTGTTCTAGGTATTTTTGAATATTGAAATGCAAAGAAACTCTTATCAGTTGTACTTATAATGGGTCAAGCAGTTGAGTTGCATACAGATCTTGTTGCATGTTTACAACTGAAGTATTTCTAGGAGAGGGTAATGGAAAATTAACATGTGTGAGCCATAATTTCCCTACAACAAAGGTCCTATAATATCTATATTGTTCACTCTTTATTTTTCTTCATGAAATAAATACTGGTAACATTAAGAAAATAAAGTTTCTGCAGATGAGTCAAAGCTTCTATTTCTTCTTTTATGAAAACATTGTATCTTAAACTATTATTTTTAAATTTTTCAGGATTTTCATTATTCCTAGTCTTAAGCTAAATGCAGCAAAATCACTTAGAACTTTTTCTATACTTAACTAATTTGATAGAAACCAGTGATGTTGGTAAATATTACTGCATTTAGAGGACCAACTGATACAACTAGCATTCAACTTTCAGGATGAATTTTCTTTGTATAGCAGACTGGTGAGTCAGAAAGCATTGTGGTAGGGACAATGTACTGAGGGAGATTCGGTGCATTTTGGCTCCAGTGACTAGGGTCTTGAGGTTGAAAATGAATAGGAGAGAAACCTGGAATTCTCACCAGTGGAGGCAAATCTTAAAAGTCAGGCTCAGAAATTGAGACATTATTCTAAAGGCAGATCAGAGTGATCAGACCTTACTGAGCTAAGAAATGAAAGATTACAATATACTTGATCAAGATTAATGTGATAGTTGTAAAGATTAACGGGTGGTAGGAGATACTGAGGGCAGGAAAATTAGGCAGCATTTTATGCTAGAATTCACCACCTGAAAGTGAAGCTGGAAGGAATATTTTGCATACATAATGGTGGCTGACTGGATTTCTAGGGATATAAAAGAAGGGAAAGATTCAAAATGTTGACTGTGAATATAGAATGAATTGTATCATTGATTCTAACAGAATGTTTGTAGTTGAAGTAGTTGATTTTAAACATGTTGAGGATAATTTTTATGAACTTTGAAATCATAATTCTAAATAAAAGAAATTTGAACTCTATAAAGAGAGGTTTTAGACTGGAGTTTATTCGAACTTTGAAATTAATTTACATGGTAAAGTAATTGCATTAGTGAGACCCTGAGAATCTTATGTTTCAATCCTAATTTTCCATCAGCCAGTCTGTTGTCAGAGATTGTCAAGGAATATTAGATTAGCTCTTTTGTTGGTAAAGATTTATTTATTTATACAGAACTGGGGTAAAAGCCAGAGGTGTAGGGGCAGTGACAGGCTTCACCAGAGACAGAGCTGGGAGCAGAACAGTCAGATGGAGGAAGTACACTGCTGAGGGGAGCAGCAGGGTGGGTCAGGGGAGGTCTGCCGCACCATGTGAATCACCTCCAGGGCCAGGGATGGAACTAGCACTGAAGTGGCTGCTGCTAGCTTGCAGTGCTGAGTCTTAACCCATTGTGCCACCAGCGAGAGCCCTTAGTTACATTTTAAGACTTCTTTTGCTGAGCTATTTGAATGATGACTACCTCATTACATAGTGTTGGCCTAGACACAAATTAACCTGTATGAGGTCTTTATAGACAAGATATGACTGCTAGCTATATATTCATGAGAATAAAGTCTTCCTAGATTCAAAATAATCTTTTCTTAGAATTTACGACTGAAACACAACTCCTTCTCATAGATTTGTTTGTGGTGGTGATGTGGATGTTTTATCCCTTGAGTCGGCGAGACTGTTCATTTGCTCCTAATTGTGACTTTGTGAATGTGTACTTGTTAATAAACTTAAATTTGATTACAATATATTTTGATTAAAATATTAAAATATTGTTCTGGACCCATTAGTTAAATTCTTCAATGACATATTCATTGACTACTTTTATATATTGCTATTATAGGTTTTTTTTAAAGCTTTGTATACATTTCAACATTCAATGCATTGATATATCCTTGTGATGGGAGGGTGATCCTTCTTACAGACATGCTTTCAAATTTGTGTTCTTTCCTTTGAGTTTTTCTTGGTACCTAGGTCCTAGTGAATGTGCAGTGCAGTTTAGCATCTTACTTTGTCATTTATAAATATGAATAAATAGGTTATTACCTCCATTCAGAGGAAGTTGAATTTATCACTGACTGAATGTTTGAAATTGTGAAACATTATCCTCAATTATGTAGTAACTAAATATTCATGTAAGTTATATTCAAAGTATGATTCAGCATGACTTTCTGTAGCTACTGAAATGTTTAAAGCACTTCAACCCTATTGTGTTTCAGTGCACCTGCAGGAAAGACATGGTGAAAATTTCAATGGATATCTTTGTAAGAAAATTTCAGCCAGATAGATATCACCTTTGGAAGCAAGGAAAGGATATATACACCATTGATCACACAAAACCTACTCCAGAATCTACTCCTGAAGTAAAAGCATGGCTGCAGAGGAGAAGGAAAGTAAGAAAAGCATCCAAGAGGTAATATACTGACTCTATTAAAGAGGGTCATTGAACCTGATGTTCTTCAAAAACTATCAACTTTTTCCTATTTTCTCATCATAGTTTACTTATTACTGAAAAATTTAAGTCAAGATATTTTTAATTATTGAAAAGTATATCAATGAATAGAATGTAGGAAAAGGTATATATAATATTTGATATTCCTAAAGTTGCTATGTATGGCAAATAGAACAAGTCTAGAACTTCTAGAAGCTACACTAATGTATTTGAAAGTTTATTGATACTTTTTATTTATCTCCATTTTTTTAATTAATTTCAGTATTATGATTTCTAACTTTGTCATTTTGTTACTGATTATAGTAGTTTTCTCTCATTTGTTAAATATCTGAGACCTTTCTCATTGGAATGTTTATATTTTGTTATTTTTTTTAAAGATTTATTTATGTATCATACAGCAATTGGGGTATAGGCCAGAGGGCAGGGGGTAAGAAGACTCACCAGAGACAGCATGGGGAAAAGAACAGGCAAATCTACTGAAATATACACCGAGGGAAGCAGCGGGTATATCAGGAGAGGTCTGCCACGCCATGTAGGTCACCTCTTTGGCTGGGTATCAAACTTGTGCTGCCGTAGTTCATGATAGATTAATAGTGCTGTGCTTTAACCTGTTGTGCTACTAGGGAGGGTCCCAAACTTCTGCATTTTACAGGATATATAACTGAGGCACATACAGAATTAGTTGCACAATTATAATGCAAGTGTTCTCAATAGTTGATAGCAGTTGTCTTCAAAGTGTTAGTGTTCAAATGAAGTTATTAGGATGGGAAAAACATTTTTGAAATGGGAAGTTAGACTAAGATGTACTGTAGACTTGTGGTGAGAATAGTCCTATGTGATTGAGTTAAGTGTTAATTTATGACATGTGAAACTGTGTGTATGTTTGTGCATTATGTCTCCATCTATAAAACTCATCTATCAGTGGGTTCCATTCAAAACTGTTTGGGAAACAATGATTTATAGAGAGTCAATACCTTTGATAAATGTGTTCATCTACGTTATCAAAAAAAGCTAGCAGGAGGAGGATGTTGTATTCAATATGAGAAAAAATTCTAATAGAATATCTCGAGATTTGTTCTTTAATGAACAAAAAGCACAATACACTAGTTATGTCTATGATTTGACCTCCAATTTACTACTATAGTGTGGTTCTTTTTGGGTTGATAGAGACCATAGATCTATGATTTTTAACAGATTTTAAATCCCTTCACTAGTTTAAAATATCAATAGACTTAACTCACCCACCCCTCAAGCCCATGTTTAGGGTCTTGTTGGTTATACTTTCATTTTCTGCTTGGTCAGAGAGTTGCTGATCCCCCATAAATAAAACCCTGTCTAAGGAAATCTAATGAAGGGAATGATTCATTAAAACTTCAAAGAGATATCAGCCATCTTATTGAATATGTACCGTGCTGTTGCTAATGTAGGTATTTCCCATATGGGCCTATGCATGGTTTTTTTTTTTTTTTTTTATAAAAGTGATAAATGTAGTGATGGTAATGGTACTGTACAGTGAGCAACAGCCAACGCTAATTTTCCTGGCTGCTACCTGAATCTCAAATCTCTGTTCTTCTTGATTTCAATTGAGGTGTTAGAGGTGATGGTGGTGGTTGTGGTATGGGTGTGTGAGTTTGTACAATGAAATGTATGTGCTTTGATTTGATTTATATTTTTTCCTAAATGAAAGTGTTAGAAATGTTTTGTCATATACAAAAGGCATCTATAACAGATTTTTTGGAATGACTTGTTGGAAAAGAAAAATGATATCCACTTCGAAAATATTAAGTTGTCAGTCCTCCCTGGTGGCACAGTAAGTTAGGGCACAGCATTGCAAGCTAGACGTAGCTACTTCAGTGAGAGTTCAATTCCCACTCAGAAGTGATCCATGTGGAGCAGCAAACCTCTCTGTCTCACCTGCTGCTCCCCTCAGCAATGTGCCTTGTTGATTTGCCTGTTC